AACCCTAAACCCGAGACCCTAAATCCTAGACCCTAAATCCTAAACCCTAAACCCTAAATCCTAGACCCTAAATCCTAAACCCTAAACCCTAGATCCTGAACCCTAAACCCTAAACCCGAAACCCGAAACCTAGACCTGGGGGGTTTCTGCCAATTGCTCTCAGGCCCAGCAGCCTGGAGGATGTTGTCGAACCGCCGTTCCACCCAGGGAGGGCTGCCGGTGGCCATCTCCAAGACACAACAGCCCAGAGACCAAATCTGAGTCGTGGAGGCAATTCAGGCGCTTAAGGGGTTTAGGATGGTTTAGGATTTAGGGTTGGGGGTTTGGGGTTTAGGGTTGAGGGCTTACTGCTGCTGCAGCAAATGCTAAGCTACTTTGCATGAGGTTGAAGTGCAACGGAAGCGGACAGAGTTTTACAGCTGGGGGTGGGTTGCTTTTAAGGAACTCAAATTAAGCTACCATAATGGGTATATATAGTGAATAATAGGGTTTCCCCAATATAGTAACTTAATTTAAGTTCCTTAACAGCAACCCAGCCAGTTTCACAGCTGGGAGGCATCCGAGGTCGTTGTCAGCTTGCCACGACCTCGGAAAAGCTCCGGTGCCTCGGACAGCTTTGAAAGGCCAAACTACATCTGACAAGGCTTTTCAACGTTCACACCTTCAGTCAACATGTTCCCAAACAATATAAGCTCAATACAACCCCAATATACTATAGTAGTTTCCATTTCTTGTTCATTATCCTTATATAACCCCAATATTATAGTAGTTTCCATTTTCTTTTCCATTATCCCAATATATACAACAAGAACCTTTTGTGAGTATTTCTGGTGCTGTTGCCGAACCTGTCGCGATGCTGACGCGGCCCCGGGAAAAGCTGACACGAAACGCATCTCTGCAACATTGTAACTATGGGGTTATGGGGGTTATGGAAACTACTACATTATAATAGGGTATAGTGGGGGCTATAGTAGAGAATAAGGGAATATGATCCCTAGCTTGATTGCAGGCTTCAACGCCTCATTTCACTGATGCGGCACCAGTGGGAAGCATGTTTTCACTTAGCTGTACCATGAGCTCATTTCTTTGCTCTCGCGAACACTCTCGCAATGCGAACGCTCATGTTTCACTGTCACGGGCGTTGCGCACACCGTAAACGCTGACGCGGCCAATCTTTACTTCAACGTTCATAAATTTTCACAAAGAATGTTTCGGCGGCCGCGGATCAGGCTTCGGAAAATATGGGATTTGGGCTTCAGGATTCTTGCGACAGTCTGGGATTACAAGGCCTGACATGAGTTTTTGACAAGGACATTCCTCCTAGAAATGCTGATTTAAAAAAGTGAGACGTTTCAAGATTTGTCTCCAACAGCTGGCTTTGACTTTGGAATTCTATGGGAAATATATCCCTAAACCCGAAATCCTAAATCAAGTAAGAAAGTACTGGAATCCATTTCATGTTCTATTGTCTTGTCCATCTGATTTCTTATCTACTTTTCCGTTTAGTTTTATGTTCTATTTGGTTTTCCATGTGATTCTCCATTATTGAGGGCATACCCCCTGAAGCCCTACACAATTCCCAAATAGCATAGTGATAGCCAACTTCGGTAGTCCTGACTGGAGACTCTCGAATGCTGAGCCCTGGGCCATCCAAAAGATAGAGCCCGCCACCGAGTTCTGGAAGCAGGAGGGTTTAGGGTTTAGGGTTAGAGAGGGGATTATCCAGGAGTACATGGGGTTATATCGGGATAGCAGCATGGGGACTTGAAGGGGTCGTACGAGGAATATCAAATCCAGATGAGCTATAGTCTAAACTCCTAGCATCCCCCTTAGTAAACCCACATAGTACTACCCTATATAATGCCTTATATAACCCTCTTTAAGGAGTTTAGACCCTAAACCCTAAACCCTATATACTCCCCTAGTATAGCTCCCTTAAGGAGTTTAGACTATAGCTCAGATGATGCGCCATGATCATGTAGGCAGCCTCCAGCATCGCCTCGCCAGGCTGAATCCATCTGGAGCACCCGAAGTCGGCGATCTTGACCTAGTCCCAGAAATTGTTTATATAGGGGCTTCATATCGTGATTTTATGGGGATTATACAAGGATTGCAAAAAAAAGACTCACTTTTTCACATTTGTGGAAAAAAGGCGGCTCAAAAACCCTTGTGAATGCAAGTATAGGAATGCGGACTGGATTCTTCTCTTTATGCTTCCTATACTGAGCTGGTCAAGGCGACATGTCTGGGTCTCCTGCGTCTCCGCTGTGCGTAAGCAGAACGTTTGCGCCTCGACTGAAGCACGCATCTGTTTGTGCCAGTTCCTCACATTAAAGCCTGAACAGCACAGCATACTTGGAGGGTCAGGGGGACTTAGTAAGTAGGTGAATAATGGGGATATTTAGGGTTACTATATGGGTTATGGGGGTTATTAACCTACTTACTAAGTCTCCCTGACCCTCCAAGTAGCATAAAGTGGAAGCCGCCAGAGGCATGGCCAAGGAGCATTTCAGATCGCAATGAACGACAGGTGGGCTACGGGAGTGAAGGTAGATAAGGCCACCAACCAGCTGTTGAGTGTATTTCCTGCACGAACCCAGAGGAACATGCAGAAGATTCACTCTCTCACTAGCTATGCTAACGCCGGACAATGCCTACACAACCCCTATAAAACCGCGCTTTCCATGTGAGCTATAGTCTAAACTCCGAGTATCCCCCTTAAGAACCCGTATAGTAGTGCCCTATGTAATCCCCCATATAGCCCCCTTTTGGGGAGTTTAGACTATAGCTCATGTAATTTTCCATCTTCCTTTCCATTTGACTCTCCATTATAATGGGGATTAAATCCCCAAACCCTACATGATCCCCATATAACCCCCAAAACCCTAAACCCCTACACCCTAAACCCTAAACCGCTTCTAATCCCTATATAACCCCATATCATCCCTAATTTGCATTTGACTCTCCGTTCTTCGGCCTGATGCCCCCTTTCGGTCCTCAGCAGCTCCTCGCTGACAGGCCCATAGGTGCGGAGCTGCCTGGCATAATAGATTATACTATATCGTAATTTATTTATAGGATATTGTAACTTATCATAATATATAATAAGATATCAAAATACATGATCACATACTATAGCATATTATAGTATATTGTAAGATACTAGGATATATTATATTGCCGTATATGATATTCATCACATACTATAGTATATGATAGTATATGATAGTATCTTAAAATATATTGTAATATATTATATATAATCTAGTATACTATAATATGTATAATATACCTTAATAAATTAGAACATCCGGACGACTGCTAGAGCAACTACAGGTACAAAATCTCCGCTCGGCAGAATCCACTGCTGCCCCACTCCCAAACTGAGGGTCGAAACTGAAACCTAGTGAACCTCTCAGTACTTAAACATAATTACCGAACTCAAAGCAGTTACTGAGGCTGCAAGAGTTGCACAGGGTTTCATGTCATGTGTTCCTTCCCACCAAGTGCCGAAAGCAACATGCCAGCCGTGCGCTGCCAGACTTCCGCCGCTACAGTACTCGAGGAAGAGGTGCAACTTCTCAGGGCCTTGCTATCATGTAACAAGCCTTTTTGCAAGGTCATCTACTTTCCGAAAAGAAAGCACAGCCTCGTAGGACCCATGGGACCTACAACTACGAAAGAGCTGTTGCGAATGCCAGCCAAGCCCCAAGCCACCCTGAGCACCCATGACAAACTCATGGCCAAAGTAACTCACGATGAAGGGATGCTCCAACCTGCCGATGACCAGAATACCAAGGAATAGGAGCCTGGCCTATCTGACAAGGCCACAGTCTCAGGTGATGGCTGCTCGCAGAGACGCAGCTCGCGGGTCAGCTTCACAAGCCTCAACAAAAACTCAAGGGTTCGCAACCCTCCTGCTGCCAAGGTCTACCCAGCAGCGGGATACGGTAACGCATGGGCCCAAACCGGTCGCTGCGCTCCTCCTTGGTGATCCCAGCCCGATCAAGCAGCATTTCCTGCGCAAGAGTTGCCTTTGAGAAAGCACTCAGGCAGATCCTCCTCTTGCCTTGACGGCCATTATCTCCCCAGTGGTCTTCCGGCGAGCTGCAAACACACAGCCTGCAGTATTCCGCGCACTTGTAGCTGCACACAGACGGGACGCTCGACTAGCTTGCGACTTCACAACACTCTGCTCCATAACTTACAATGGTTCGGTATGGAATCAGGGAAGATATCTTGAGGGAATTATATAGGAATTATTTATATTCCCTTGTTCCCTACTAACAACCAGTAAGGTAACAAGCCAAGGGCACCGTAACTGCCAGCACCAATGAGGTCGCCCCTTTGGAAATCCCGCGCAAGCCGCAGTTGACCTAAGCTCTGCAGGTGAAGTTGGGGTTTAGGGTTTTTTTATGACCGCCATGCGCT